CCCCTTAGCTCCCTTGCGGTCCGGAGCTGGGACTGACGATACGGCGTTTCGGTTCGCGTTACGTTCACCCCCTCAGGTTCCATGCATGCGGAATCTCGGACGTAACACTATTAAACGTAAGATTTCTTCATCAAGATTCGAATTTTGATGTAATCGACATATTCTATTGCTTCATTATTATCTACAATGAAAAGTTGACCGTAACTTGGCATTTCCTTAGGTGTGGGATATAAAGCGGTATTAATTTGATAATAAATCTGTCCTTGAATTTTGAAACAATAAGGTCCACGTCTTTGCGCACTGAAATCTGATATTTTTGCATTAAAGGACGTGAATGAAAATGTATTGTTGTAACCACGAATACGATTATAAAAATGATTTGATTTTGAATGATTTCCCATAAATAATTCATACAATTCATGCGGAGGTTGTGGTAAAGGATCTAATTCAACAGACCCATGACTGCAGCAATCATAAAATGAATTTCCTTTATTAGCTACTTTTTCAGATTTAAAATGTTTTGCACCGCAATGTCCGCAATATATATTCATTTCTCCTATATAATGTTCTTCAACGTTTTGTAATTGAACAACATTAGATACGTTAAAACTCATATAACCTTTTTCTAAAGCTCGATAGTTTTCCTGCCGCTTTACTTTTTTATTTTTATCAATTATATTAGAAGACATTGATTTTGGTTTTAGTATTTTGTTATTTGTTAAAATAATATCTGGAGATAGTTCTTTATGTAAAATGATTGAATCTCCAAATTTATTATCTAAACTTGTTAATCTATTCGATGTCCTAGGTATAGAGGTAGGAATGCTATTATTTAATATAACTTCCACATTAGATTTATTAATATTTTCAGTTATTTCATTATTAACATTAAGTAATTTTATATTATCATTTACAGCAGTAACCCCATTATTATCTTTTATTATAGAAGCATTTGTAATAGTTGTTGTATCGATTACTTGTGATGCAGTAGTAATTGTTTCGCTTATTGGATATACCACTTCCATAGATGATGAAGAGGCCTGAGAATCTATTATCATTCTTGCAAAATTTGATGAAGTTTGTCGTAAATTTAAAGAACTCTCATTAATATTTGACAAAAATTGACAATCTGTATTTATCATCAATCGTTCGTTTACCCGTTTTTCAGCCTGCCATTTTGCCTTTCTTTCTCGTTTTAAACACTGAAATTATTCCTCTTCCTCGTCGAAATGTATCGCTCGCATTGTTAACCCTTTTCCGCGCTCGTGATTGGCGGTCGAAGTCGGCGATCGAGTGCGCGGCGAGTTCGCGTGTGTCAACGGCCGTTGACAGTTGTATCGTATACGAGGTTATTGCAATAATCGGTGACGTGTTTATTCCGTATGTGAAAAATAATAAAGTTTTGCGTGTAGTGAGTGTAGATGTACCCGAGAGAACTGTATTTTATAGTTTCTCGCTGCGTGCGTAATTATTTCGCAAGTGTCTGTCATCGTCGTAAAGATCTCGCGTACTTCGATAGTTATTAGAGGTTAATAACGTATCGATAATATTTTATCGTTACTAGATCAGAGCGCGCGCTACGCGCGCGCCACGTGTTATTTTTTAATTGTGTTATTAATCTTACCGCGTATAATTTTCGTGTACAATTTTCAAATTCAATAAACCTTATACCCACAACAGCGTGTAATGTTGTAGTGATATTACCGTGAGAATACAACATTACAATAATATCGAAACTGGTAGTGCAATAGTACGTAAATATACCACTGAGATATTACGTACTATGATATATTACAATGTAATATTGTAATAATTTTATTATTATCTTACCACATATAATTTTTATACGTAATACCACTAAGATATTACGTACTGTGATATATTACAATGTAATATTGCAATAATTTTATTATTATCTTACCGCATATAATTTTTATACTAAGATATACTACGACATATTACATATATTACGACATTTTATGATATAACTCCAAGATACTCACATAAATACAATTGTTTTGTTCCATTAATATTATGCTTCCTTTCATATTAGTTTTCCTTCATTTCCTGCTTTCCTTCTTGCTTATCCTCTGTTTTTATCTCTTTTAATTTCTCCTTCTCTTACTTTTTTTCAATTTTCTCTAACATTCCCTTTTCTATTTCCTTGCCTTTCTTTTTCTGCTAAATCCTTCCTTCTTATAAGGCCTTTTTTTTCAAAATAACTAATAATTTTCATAAGAAACAATTTTAAAATTCAATAAATTTTATACCCACGTAGCATGTAATATTGCAGAGATATTGCCGTGAGATTACAATATTGCAGTAATATTGCAACTTTCAGTGCAATATTATTTAAATATACTATTGAGACATTACGTTGCGATATATTGGAATGTAATATTGCAATAATTTTATTACTATTTTACATATAATTTTTATATATACGATATATTACGATCGACATATTACAAAAATGTAACACCGCGATAATTCTATTATTAACTTACAACATATGTATGTAGTTAATTTTTATACAATTTTTAAATTCAAAACTTTTGCGTCCTGATCTATTAATTACAACATTAATATATGTTGCCGGCGGCGGGAGCCTTCGATCAGGTTCCCCGGTTAACGACAAGTAAGACTATTTATTTGTGCGCCAGGTTTGCTCGGACGCGTCGGCGGATCCCTCTCGACCCGTCGCTCTCCAGATTCGTACTGACTTTGTGTCGCGCGAACTCGAACGGCTCGCGGCTTTGATTTCGGAAGCGATAACGCGATTCGCCGATAACATCGGCCCAGCAACAAGCGACGAATCAGGGGGTAACACACCAAGTACGACGAGAGCCTTTTTTCTGTGTCGTCGTCATCGGCACACAAACACGCGCTCTCGACGTCGACATTGCTCGAAAGTCGAATCAACAAAGATTCGAAGCGAAGAAATTTCTCGAGCGATCTCGACGGCCGCACAAATTAATGCTCTAATCCTGAACATACCGCCCGCCTCGTATACGCCGGATACGAAATACAGCAAAAGACGTGGCGAGATCGAAGATACTCTCGCTTAGTCGCAGCGTGAGCTAAGGAGCGCAAAGGGCGACAGTGATTGACGCTAGCCGAATAAAGAATTTTAAATGACCTTATAGGTAGGGACGAAAACACAATAAAGTAATTAACGCTAAACGTACAACACGTCTTAACTCGCTCTCGAAGTATATATATAATTAAACTTGATATATTGAGCGTTTTATACGTGATACGTACAAACTAAGCGCGCGATGCTGACAAGGATCGGCACAAAACAAAACAAAAGAAAACGAACAAGAAGGAGAAAGGGCGATCAGTCGCTTTCTGACGCCGACGCTTTACAATTTACAGGCAACTTGTACAGTTGCGTTATAGGTCGCTTCAGTAGAGAACGCGCAGTGCGTATCGTAACCACCCGGACGAGTCCGTCGGACCCGGGATGAACCTGCTGGATTCTCGCGAGTTCCCATTTGCTCGGAGGGAGCAAAGGGTTCTTTACAATGACGAGATCACCGACTTCTAAATTAGGCGCGGCGTCTCGCCACTTGGTTCTCGTCTGAAGCGACAACAAATAATCATGCGACCAGGCACGCCAGAATTGCTCCCGCATGGAGCTCACTAGCTGCCAGCGGGAAAGGTGGTCTGGGTTCATCTCGAGCACGGACTCCTCCGGAACCGCGATTATCGGACGCCCTATCAGGAAGTGTCCGGGCGTGAGCGCGGACATGTCGCTGGGGTCATCGCTGAGAGCAGCAATCGGGCGCGAGTTTAAGCAGGCTTCTATTTGACACAGAAGCGTCGCAAATTCCGCCCGAGAAAGCGTGCGAGCTCCGACGACTCGCTTTAAGTGAGCTTTGAAGCTCTTCACTCCGGCTTCCCACAGACCGCCAAAATGCGGAGTGGCCGACGGGACAAACTCCACGCCGTCGGCGGCGAGAACATCTCGCATTTCGGGGTGATCCCTCAACGAGTGAAACTGCCGTTGCAGTTCGCGGTCGGCGCCGTGGAAATTGGTACCGTTATCACTGTACATCCGACGCGGCAACCCGCGGCAACACGAGAACCGACGGAACGCGGCCAGAAAACCGTCCGCAGAATAGTCTTCGACTAGCTCGAGGTGCACGGCCCTCGTGGCGAGGCAAATGAATAAAGCGACGTAGTTCTTTCTTGCCTTTTGTCCGCGCCCGACCAACGGAAGAACATTAAAGAGACCGGCGTAGTCCACTCCGGTGTGGTCGAACGGCGGCGACGGGTTAACCCGAGAAGCGGGAAGCTCTCCTATGAGTTGCGAGCAAGGCAGCGCGGAGTAACGCGTGCACGTAACGCACGCGCGAATATGAGATTTAACGGCCTTACAACACCCGATTATCCAGTGCCGCTGTCGCAGAGTGCGGATGACCAGCTGCGTTCCACCGTGCAGGGTGGCTTTGTGCGCGCGCTGAATCAGTAGCTCGGCGACCCGATCCCTGGGAAGTATTATCGGGTGCTGCTCGTCGTAGCGGAGAGCAACCGTCCGCCAAGACGGAGTAAGGCGTTTTCATCTACGAACGGATGCAAAGCCCTTAGCGGGCTGGATCGCGAAAGAGAAGAATTAGTGCTTAATGCTCTAATTTCCGGCGCAAATGCTAATTTTTGCGCGTAGCGGAACCAAAACATTTCGGCTTCGCGAAGCTCAGGTACTGTTAATACGAGTGACGTACGCTCGGATTTCTGGCGCTTTACTCGAGAAATGAAGCGTCGTACGTAAGCCGTGACTCGGATTAATCGAGTCCACGTTGAGAATTTGCGAAGCAGTTCCCACTCGTCCTCACTTTCAACGTGGAGACGACGTGAGCGCGAGCTTCGTCGTAGACCTGTCGATTGGTACTACGATCAAGAGAAAGAGAGTGGTCATCGGTCGGCCACGACGTAGACGACCGGGCGAGCCACCTCGGCCCTGCACCACAGGGGGTGAGAGGACAGTTCTTCAGCCGACAGGCCGCGTGAGGCGCAGTCAGCGGGGTTGTCTTTAGAAGACACATGATTCCAGCGCACCTCCGGCAGGGTACGTTGCACCTCAGACGCGCGATTGGCTACGAACGTTTGCCACTTCGCGGGGTGCTGGCGTAGCCATGCTAGCGCGACCGCCGAATCTAACCAGCCGAACACTGACGCGGAGGCCGAACTTAGGGTCGTCTGAACCCACTTAGTCAATCGACTCAGCAATACGATAGCGTTCAGTTCGAGTCGCGGTATGCTGAGAGTCTTAAGAGGCGCGACTTTAGTTTTCGCGGCGAGTAGACAGACTTGAACGTTCGCATGCATGTGAAGAATGCGAATGTAAACGACGGCGGCGTAGGCTCGGTTTGAGGCATCCGCGAAACCGTGTAGTTCAAAGGCGACGTCGTTACCTCGTCGACTGGTCCAACGAGGGATCCGGATACCGTTTAGTGTCTCTAGATCCTTATAATATGCCTCCCACTGCTGACGCATTTCGTCAGGGAGAGGGGTGTCCCAATCGGATTGGGTTAATCATAATTCCTGTA